AAATGAAGGCCTGTGGCTCTGGCAAGTGAAGCTAAGTTTCCCCACCGTGAACATTTTCTGTATTGTACTGCTGTGAGGGAAACAGACCCACGTTAAGCAGGGACACCACTTCAGAGAAAGAAATCCAGAATCAGAAACACACAGCTAAGAGCAGAGCCTCAGGCAGGGCCGGCGAGGAAGCGGCCTTGGGCCTGGAGCACCGTGCAGAATGGTAAATCCTCAGAGCCGAGGTTTGTCCACAGACAGCATAGGGGGACGACCACTGCATCGGGGGCTGGTGCAGAGGCTGCCCATGGTGACCTCTGCAGAGAAAGGGGTGGGGGTCATCATGACTGCATCGGGGGCTGGTGCAGAAGCTGTGCGTTGTGATCTCTGCAGAGAACAGGGTGGGGGGTCATCATCACTGCATCGGGGGCTGCTGCAGAAGCTGCGCGTGGTGACCTCTGCAGAGAATGGGGCCGGGGGTCATCATCACTGAGATCAAGGCACCCTCTGGAAGGACAGGAAGAGACACAGGGGACACCCAGTGTGGCCTGGTAAGCAGCCATCCCTCCTTCATTAGCAACTGGGAGTGAGCTGTGAGACAGCCAACTAAGGCCCAGTATTCTCTGCAGCCAGCACACCTGGGAAAACTGACAACCTCCAATGGCTGCGCCACAAGGTCCCCTTCCAACTCTGCTCCACTGAGAAGCTCCCAGCCCCACTGCCCTCCTGCTCACAGGGGCAAGCACAGATGCTGCACAGCCCTGAGCAGTGAGGTCCAGTGTTTGGCCAGCCAGCAGAACGACACACACACACCGATCACATGAAGGGTGGGTCGGTCATGGCTCCCGGGCAGAGCCCAGCGTCCAGGTATGCAGCACCAGGAAACCTTCCCAGAGAGACTTGAGGGGAGGAGGAGAAGCCAGGGATGGTTACTAGGAGGAAGATTCTGGACTTGTGCTGTGTCCAGCACGATCTTGGTATGTGGCACAGTGTAACAGATGTCACGCTCAACACCGCCTTCACACACTGGTTTTGTGGTCTGCCTCCTGTGTAGCTGTAGCACGTGGGGACTTAAGATGTTCACATTAGCTATCTTTGGTGGGCAAAGAACCGCCCTAGCCCACAAAGATCGATGAAGCCTTGTGTGTGTTCCTACTTTCCAGTCTGCACCACAGCCCTGAGGTCCAAACTACCCCAGGACACCTGCTCTGGGTGCTGTACCAACTCCAGTCAGAAGTTATGCCATTCCTCCCGCACCACGGATGGGACCGAGACCCTCCAGCGACCCAGGAAGTCTACAAACATGTTACGTGGATTTTAATGAACTCCACCTTTTTGCTTTTTAGCCCAGTCAATCCATTCAGGAATGGAATGTGTAAGACATGCCAGGTGACAGAGAGCCAAATGGGCCTGCTTACTGGGGCCAGTTCCAAGGCCCCAAGAACACAGGAAATGCAAGCTGACTGCCTCCATGGCCTGTGCATGAGCCACACCAGCAGCCACCCTCTTCCTAAGCACAGCCCATGTCAGACAAGTCACCAAGGCCTTACAAAACTCACCTCCCAACATCCTCTCCAAGCTGTTTCTAAGAGCACAATCTGTAAACAGCAGCCACTGTGTCAGCTGCCCGTTCACACAGCCATGGGTGGGCAGGAAGCAAGGGTAGGCCCTGAGCAAGTGCACCTGCACCGGGAGGAGCGCACACACTGAGGCGCCTCAGGAGGGCACTCCAGCCCCACATGCTGCCAGCTCTCCTCCACCAGCACAGCCTGCTGCCTCTGTGGAGAGGGCCAGACCACTGTCACCACAGTGGGGTCCCACCTGTCTTTCACAGCCCCACTCACGGGCTGCATTCCTGTGGGCCTTGTCTCCCCCACACACACACATACACCCAACCCTTCCATGCACTGACAAGTAGGATACTATATCCAAGGGACTCATTCTCCTACCAATCAATCAATGGAAGGCACCAGCTCCCAGCACTGAGACCCAGCACCTGCCTGGAGAGGCAGGCACTGTGAGGGTTAGGAGAACCTGCTTTATGACAGGGCACCTGGGCTCACCTGCCAGTCCTGCCTGTGTGTCCTAGGTGAGCCACCAAACTTCTGTGTCTGTCAGTTTAGCAATCTATAAGATGGGCTGTCATGCCAGGTCAACGAGGTAATGGAAGCCAAGTGCTTCGAACACAACCCAGACTAGAACAGCACTTGGCCAGTGTTAGTGATTCCTCCCGTGCCTCAAAAACCCCTCTCTCCTTGTCCTAAGGCAGCAGTCCCTCCCCAGGACCACATGAGGATGAGCTAGCCCTGCAGAGTATGGGAACCCAGCCCAGCAGTCAGCAGGCACACTCTAGCACTAGCTGCCACCAGAGTTCTGCCCCTCCAGCCATGAACAGGACCTGGCACGGGGAAGCATACAATAGTGACAACAGCGTGGACCAAGTCACGGTGTTCAGTCTATAATTAGAACAGTTGGAAACAAGTTCCACGGGAAATAAAAGGATGCCACACTGAATGTACAATGTAATTTCAAACGCATAAAAGTACTCAAGCAGAAAAAAATGAAAATATATCTGTACACTAATATTAGTTTGCTTTGAGTCAGGAGATCATGGGTAATTTCAAATGGTTTTGTAATTTTTGAATTTTCTGCTATGAGCTTTTATCAGGCTTTTATAAAGAAATACACAGAAGGATACTTCAAGAAGTTCACAGAAAATAGAATTAAAGGCTAAGTTTATTTTGATGCCAAAAAATTGAAATGCTTGCATATGAGGAATCTTCAAACTGTTCATGAGAAACGTACATTATGAATAAAGCATGCATGGATTTCAAAAGCGTTTGGCACCAAAATAAATTACTTTTAGTTCTGTTCTTCCATGAGCTTTACGAAGTACCCTTGAGCCTGCACACACACACACACACACACACACACACTTGTATAAACCTGCACTAACAGCTCTCTAACTCTAGGCCCCTGTCCCCCTAACCTGGTTTCATACAAGGAGAAGCCTGTGGGTCCAGCCTGCACATCCACTTGCAAGACCAACCACACTAAGACCTGTGGCCCACCTGACAGAGAGAGGTGGGTGCTGAGCCAATGCAGATGCCCTCATGGTGCCCCACGCTACAGCAGGGCACTAATGTTTCCTGGTGACAGGGGCAGCAAATCACAGGCACTGTGTGTCCCCAAGTCCCAGGTTCGTCTCAGCCAGCTCAAAACTTCCCTGGGGCAGCAGATTAACTCTGTGGCAGCCATGCCCATTGGCAGGCAATCAGATGCCTACAAAGAGTTTGGCTAGGCTAAGGAAAAACTAGCCCGCACACACTAATTAGGTGAGCTCTGCCTCTCCATACCACTGCTGTGCTCACTTGGCAAGGCAGGGACCATCTGGAGGGACCATCCAGCAGGAACAGCCCCAGGAAGTGGTGCTGGAATTGGTGCAACTGCCTAGTGAGCGGCTTCCCAACAGAGACGCTCCATCCCAAGTCATAAAAGAGCCGAATACAGCACAGGGAGTTCCATCAATTTGCCCAAAGCCAAGCAGCTGGGACGTCGTGGAACCAGGAGTCAGCGCCTGCCTGGCAATGGCCTCCCCCTACCTATCTGAGGGCCTGAACAGAGCCGGAGTGGAGTTCACAGGACCAGATGGCTCCACCGGTGAGAACGCCCATGGAAAAGATAATTAAAATCTGTGATTCTCAAACCAGGAGATGAAGAGGAAAAGCCGTCCATTTCATTCCATCAGACCAGCCTTATCCCAACATCCAACACAAGCACATCATAAGGAAAATGGCACACACATATCCATCACAAAAGTGTCACATGCCTCAACAAAATATTACCAGACGCCATCCAGAAGCACAACCAAAGCTTAGCACACTGTGCGCAACTGACAGTTACTCCGGAAATGCAAGGGTGGCTACCCTACAAAATCAATCTATCCAAGAACAGAATACACATGGGGAAAGCCCACAAACTATCCCGATAGACACAGAAAACCTAGTTCACAAAAACTTCCATGACGTTTGCAATACGAAAACACAAATCATCACATCAGGAATGGAACGTACACCTCGGCCTGACAAGGCTCTTTCATGAAAAGCCCACAGAGCGGGAATATCACACCCAACTCGAGGAACCGAAACTGGCCTCCTAGACCAGGAAACAGACACACACTTTCGCTCTCCTTCCTCCCATCAACAGTCTCTGACGTCTAGAGCAGGGCGGCTGGGCCCTCAAAAAGCAGACGGGAACGCGGGGCCGTTCCGGGAGGAGACCGAGCCACCTCTGCTCTCGCCCAGCTGCTCGCACCCTGGGGACCCTTCCAGACCGTCCGCACAGCACGACCGCGACCCCACCCGCGCCTTCGGGACCCAAGAGCAACAGGCACGCGGCCAGCCAAGACGCCCAGCGGGTAACCACAACAGCCGCGCGTCACTCACCTCCAAGGGGGTCCGGTCAGAGGTCCGCGAAGGCCGTTGCTTCCGGAAGGGACTGAAGAAGAGCAACGCACCTGAGAAACGGCACGGAAGCCTCGGACACGCAACCTCTCCTGATCCGGCCTGACCCTGGGGACGCTGGCTCTCCCTCAGGCTCGGCCAGCCGCATCGAGGACGGCTCCTCTCCTCACGGCTTGCGCTGGCTCTCTGGCAGGAGTGGACGCGGCGCTGACTGCCAGCGGAGCACTGCCTGGCAGCAGGTACCAGGCGTGCAGGTGCACTTCCGGGTCACAGTGCCAGGCGCAGGCGCACTCCCCAAGGGCCATCACCGTGGCAACCCAGGACGCACCTGCACACTTCTGCATCCAGCGTCCCAAGCCCCAAGGCCGCTTCCAGTCCCGCCTCTCCAGGCTGCGACCAGGGACGCGGACGCTGATGGCCCAGGTTCTCTGGACCCCACTTCCCTGCCTCGTGGGAGTCCTCAATGGAGCTCCTGCCTTCTGCCTCTTGCCTCCTGCCTCCTGCCTGGATCCCACGGCGTACGGCTTCCGGGACGGTCGGCACTGTGAGGTAGCGGGTAAAGCCACCTCCACAGTGCAGGCATCCCATATGGGCGCCGGTTCGAGTACGGCTGCTTCACTTCCAATGCAGCTCTCTGCTGTGTTCTGCGAAGGCAGCAGAAGACGCCCCAAGTCCTTGTGCCTCTGCACCCATGAGGAGTTCCTGGCATGGCTCCTGGTTCCTGGCTTCCGATACTCTCAGCTCAGCTCACTGCTGCCAGTTGAACAGTGCTCCAGCAGGTGGAAGACTTTCTCTGTCTCCCTCTCTATCTCTCTTTCTCTCTCTGTCTCTCTCTCTCCCTCCCTCCCTCATTTACCCCCTTTCTTCCCCTCTGTGTGTAACTCTCAATATCCCTGCTGCTTCACCTGCAGGACAAGTTTGGCCTCTCACGGCTATCGCCCTTCTGTTACCTGCTCTCTGGTGCTGTCTTCCACGCTTCCCCCAAGGCAGGCTGAAGAAGTAAGAGGGGAGAAGAGAAAAGAGTGCTCTTTGTTCTGTCTCTTCCCTCCTATCCACTTGATTTTCTGTCAGTTTGTTAACTAGCATCCCACGATTGCTTTGCTTGATTCCAGTTAGCCACTGTGTGCTGAGCAGAGCCAGGCTTTCCAGATAGAATCTGGAAGAACATTCCTTCTCTGGGACTTCTTACCCCAGGGATCCTACTCCGCCATAGGCAGTGTCACAGGCTGAGTGATTGAGTTCTGTGGTGATCTGGGCCAAACAAATTATGTTGCCTTTAGATCAGGAACCTTGGACAGTTTTCTGTGGTAGTGGTCGGGGGCATATTTTATAAAATGACATAGATGCAAAAACTTAAACTATGACAACTCAGCATGCGTACTTTTCTGGCTGATCTTGCCCTCAGAGCCCTCCCCCCTTTTTATTTTTTTATTTTTTATTTTTATTTTTTGTTTTTTGACAGGTAGAGTGGACAGTGAGAGAGAGAGACAGAGAGAAAGGTCTTCCTTCTGTTGGATCACCCCCCAATGACCACTGAGGCTGGCGCACCACGCTAATCTGAAGCCAGGAGCCAGGTGCTTCTGCTGGTCTCCCATGCAGGTGCAGGGCCCAAGGACTTGGGCCATACTCCACTGCACCCCTGGGTCATAGCAGAGAGCTGGACAGGAAGAGGAGCAACCGGGACAGAATTCGGCACCCCAACCGGGACTAGAACCCGGCGTGCTGGCGCCACAGGCAGAGGATTAGCCTATTGAGCTGCAGCGCTGCCCCCCCCTCTTTTAAACAACTTTGTTGAAGGCTGGCGCCGTGGCTCACTTGGCTAATCTTCCACTTGTGGCACCGGCACCCCAGGCTCTAGTCCCGGTTGGGGCACTGGATACTAGTCCCATTTTCTCCTCTTCCAGTCCAGCTCTCTGCTTTGGCCCGGGAGGGCAGTGGATGATGGCCCAAGTGCTTGGGTACCTGCACCCGCATGGGAGAATGGGAGGAAGCACGCAGCTTCTGGCTTCAGATCGGCTTAGCGCCGGCCATCGCGGCCATTAGGGGAATGAACCAACAGAACAAAGACCTTTCTCTCTGTCTCTTTCTCACTCTCTATGACTCTGTCAAGTAAAAATAAATAAATAAAAAAGACACAATATAATATGTACAGTTTCACATTTATAAGAAAAAATTTTTGTTGAAAAACAGTATACATACCAAGAAGTACACACATGTGTACAGGTAAATGAGTTTTTCATTCTCTGACCTCACACATAATCAACACTCAAGAACAAACATGACTGTTGCATCAAGAGCCCTTGGAATGCTTTTACATATTTAAAAAAATTGTTTTAATTTATTTTCATTTTATGTGAAAGGCAGGGAGACAGAAAATAAGAGTGAGAGTGAGAGCGAGAATAAGAATGAGAGAGAGAGAGAGAGAGAGATCTTCCATCTGCAGGGTCACTCTCCAAAATGGCTGCCACAGCCAGTATTCCGGGTAAAACAGCAGTGAAGAAAGGCATCCTCAGTTCTTTGTCTCCCGTGAAAGAAGCATTTCCACCTGGACACAGCAGTGAGCAAAGCGAGCTTTATTTTATTTAAGTCAGAAACCTGCTGCCACTGCAGCCAGAAGGGTTATCCAAGAGAGACAGCCCCCAGAAACTGTCCAGTCTCTTAAGTACAACTTTGGGGTAAAAAACAGAATAATAGCTAACAGTCAGGAGGCTGAGACAAAACGCATCAAAAGGCTGGGTTTGTAATCTTGTTTGTCCTGTCTTGCCTGCTTGTGATAAAACAAAAAGGGCCTTCTTTCTGTTTTCACTGTAAACTGAAAACTCAGAGGGTGGAATCACTACTTCCTTGCTATTCTCATGGAAAAGGAGTGGGATTGGCACTTTTGTCTTGCTAAAGGCAGCTTTTGGGGGGACGGAAGCGTTTTGTGCCATCTTAAAGAGATTTCCCCTTCTATTGGCTGGTTTTTGTTTTTTGTTTTTTGTTTGTTTGTTTGTTTTGACAGGCAGAGTGGACAGTGAGAGAGAGACAGAGAGAAAGGTCTTCCTTTTTGCCATTGGTTCGCCCTCCAATGGCTGCCGCGGTCGGCGCACTGTGCTGATCCAAAGGCAGGAGCCAGGTGCTTCTCCTGGTCTCCCATGGGGTGCAAGACCCAAGCACTTGGGCCATCCTCCACTGCACTCCCTGGCCACAGCAGAGAGCTGGCCTGGAGGAGAGGCAACCGGGACAGAATCCGGCACCCCAACCGGGACTAGAACCCGGTGTACCGGTGCCACAAGGCAAAGGATTAGCCTATTGAGCCATGGTGCTGGCCGTCTATTGGCTGTTATTAACTCATCTGCCTCCTCCCACCAGGGCTGGGCTGGGCCAAAGCCAGGATCCAGGAATTCCCTCCAGGCTCCCTAGCCCAGGGGTCAGCAGCAGGGATCCGAAACCTGTGTCTTCACTCCAGTCCAGTACTGTGATTTTTACACCAGGGACTCTGCTCTGTGTGAGCATAAGTAAATGTTGTTTTAAGAAGGGGCAGAGGAGGGGATTCTGTTGACCTACTACGTGTCAGGTGCTAATACAGGTACCTGACATGTGTTACCCAGCTTTAGTCTTGGAGTGACTGTTGAGGTACATGGGGATCTTACTATTTTTCAGGGACTTCTCACTTTTCCAACCTGTCCAGTGAAAGAGCCGAGGGCCACGCAGTGCCAGTGGCCTCTGGGATTGGACGCTGGCAACTCCTTGCCCTGTGGTCATGATCTTTCTCCTACCTGAGAATGTCTCCCAGGCAGATGGTGAGCACTGGCCACAGGCAGTTCCCCTAGTTGGCCAGGCATGGGCCTGAGGCTCAGCCCAGCCTTCAGAGGGGCCCATCTGAGTCCACGGGTGGTGCAGCTGGTATTTCCGGAACGTTCACAGGGCTGGGATTTGCAGTAGTCAGTAACGAGCTGCTTAGCCTTGAGCTTAGCTTCTGAAAGATGTGGAAGCTTGAGATTCTATTCAAAGTCAAAGTCCAGGACTGGGCGCCCGGCGGGGACACAGAGAGGGCTCTGGCACAGCTGCCCTCTGCAAGCTTCCAGCGGAATTGAAGCAGACAAAAGATGTGTGGTTCTAACCCTCCCTGATAAACGCCACACAGGGTGCCCACAGGAGAAGGGAGGTGGACAGGGCATGTTGGATGTAACCCATGGTTTACAGGATGCTGGTTTGTAAGCTGCAGCTCCTGCCTGTGAATGCCAGGGACACTGGCTGAAAATCACAGCTGTGACCCAGACTCTCCAAAGATGGGGATGGAAAGTTGTCGGGTGTTTTTGCTGGGTGCAGTGGGGATGCTGTATGTGAGTGTATGTAGCGGGTAGGGGAGTGGACTGTACAAGCCATCTGGAGCCCGGCAAGGCTGTGGCTTTGTGGGTTTGGTACAGCAGTCTTCATTCTCCAGTAGAGGTTGGGCTACACAGTAGCAGAAATTTCCCTTGAAGTCTCATTGCAGTCTTAGTGCTTTGCTGCGATTAAGTCTGATGCCAGCCGGGCCCTTTTCCAGGCCCCTGAGCTCTCTGGGGTTGCTCCGTGATCCTGGCTGCTTCACCTTCCCTGTGTCTGGCCTTACAGTTGCAGAAGGAGAAAGCAGGAGGCCCGGACTTCCTCTGGGAGGGACCTGCATGGCTCCCACCCCTTATCCAGTGGGCAGAACTGCTCCCGTGGCCTTATATCTGGGAGGTAGGGGTGGAGAGTCATGCAGGTGTGATGCCGGCAGTGTTGATGTCATAGCTGTTCTCCCCCATCCAAAGAGGGTTCCTTGTCATCTGGGTACCAGACCCAGCAATATTCCTGAGCTGATCCACCACCTTGCCAAGACAATCTCCCAGGAGAACCCCCCCCCCAGGCCATGGTTTCAGACCCAGCATCTCTTGCTGTCATCCATGTCCAGCCATGGGATTTTGGGTTGTGCACTTAATCTCTTGTTTGAAAACTGGTTATGTGGAGATCATACTAACGGCACCCAAGCTGACAGTGGATGTGATGCATCAGTGAGAACACACAGATGAAGTGTGGGGTTGGTTCTGAGTGTCTGTGAGCCGACCCACCCCGGGGAGGCAGGGTAAGGGTCGGGTGGTGCTGACGGGAAAGTAGAGGTGCTGTTGGCCTCTGACCTCCTGGAGCCCAGGGCAGCCCAGCCTGCTGGTTGCAGTAGCAGTGGGGACTCACCCTGGGCCTTGTCTGTGGGGCCAGCAGAAAGCGGCTGTGCCCCCATCCCAGGGCAGGGGGTGTTCCTGGGACTTCCTGGGCTCACTGTGTGTGACATTCGGCTGCCTTGCCCTGCTGCTGATTTTGAGTGCTTTCCCTTCCTTTGGTTCATCTCCTCTGACGGATCCACTGTTGCTCCCACACGTCCTGTTTCCCTGAGGCCAGGCCAGCGTGGCCGCTGATGTCTGTGCCATTTGTCACAGGCGTGTGAAGCTGTTGAACCTCCCCGCCAGCCTCCTGCCACAGAAAATGAAGAGCTTGCTGGGTCAGAACATGTCGGCCAAGAGTCCCTTCATCTACTCGCCGGTCATCGCACACAACCGCGGGGAAGAGCGCAACAAGAAGATAGGTAGGCCCCGTGGCCCCAGCTCTGTCCCCCCACCCTGCCTCCCGCTGCCCCTGGCACCTCTGGATGTCAGCACAAAGCTCCAGGCTGGCCGCGTGTGTGCCTTTCCTCCCACGGAAGCTTGTCTGGTTTGCTGCCTTTGGCAGGCAGCTGCCCGTGGAGCTGAGTTTTAAAGATCTATTTCATTGAAGGCGTTTTCAGGAAAGTCCCAGGAACTGGAAAGAGCTGTGTTTATGGAGACTTAACACAGATGACGTCAGAGTGGCAGTGGAGACCAGCGTGATCTCACACGGTCCGTGCTGACTTCCCACCCAGCAGAGAAAGCTCTGCTCTGGGGTTGGGCCGTGTCCCTTGTGCCGTTTCCCCGTGAATGCAGGGAGAGGGGCAGCAGAACCCTGGTTCTCTTGAAGACCTTGCCTCTGCTCTTCCAGCTCCAAGCTCCCCGCCCCTTCCCAGCCTGCGGCCGTTCATGTCTCCCTGCCACTGACAGTGTGCCCCAGGCCTGCCCTGTCCTGTGTCCTGGTGTCCTTTGCAAGGCCTGGCCATGGCTCGAGCTCTCTCCCTCACTGCCCTGGAGACAGACCCCAGGGTCTCCTTGCATGTGGGGCGGGGATTGCCCGTCATGCTGGCTGGCCTGTGCATCCCCATGACAGATCTACAGGGGCAGGGGCCTGCATTTCCTAGACAAGGAGCCTGAGCTTAGGGAAGGCCGGGCCCTGCCCAGAGGCTGACTGCCCTAGGTCCCCTCCTGGTGTGGAGGCCCAAGGTTGCCAGCAGCTCTCTCACTCTCGGTTTTTGATCCTCAGAGCTTTCTGTGCTTCCTCTTTATTTCTGTTTTTGATTCCATGCCTCCTTTTAGGGAAAAGGCACCTTCATTCCTTAGGGGCCCTGCCTCGCATACCACCCCTGCTGCCTGCCTGTCCTGACCCCCTGCCTTTCTCACCTCTGCTTCTCAGATCCAGCCACATGACTCTTTTCTGGTCCTTGAACACCATGACTTGTCCTGGTCCCATGGTTTGGTCTCTGCGTGGACCTCATCCCGCTGCTGTCGCTGCCTCACTCACAGTCACGCTGCTTGGGTCTCTGTTCAAATATCGCCTTCTCAGAGGGGGAATCTGCTGCTCCCAGCACTTTAGAGGCCACCCTGCCCTCAACATCCCTAGCTTGCCCCTCGGTAGTGCCTTTCCTTAACTCAATTAGACATTTGCCTCTTTATGGCTTCCCTCCCGCAATGTAGCAAGAGGCTGGGAGCTCTGTGCTGCTCCCTGCCCCGTCCCCAATGCCCACAGCACAATGAAAGAGTGAATGGAGTGGACAGGGCTTGTCCAGGACCTCACTGCCAGGGGAACTGGCCTTGTTGCTCAGTCTGTGCTGTCCACAGTGCCGCATTGTCCCTGGCAGAAGGGACACTGGAGCACTGTGTAGAGCTCCTCATTGTCGTGTTTCTCCTGTGATTCCAGCACCGGCTGGCCGTAGCTCCTAGTAGGGCCTCACTGTAAACATCACCAACAAGTTGCAGGTTGTCAGAACTCCCTGAAAACAGTGCGTCTTTGGAAGAAAAGTTGTTTGCTCAGCTACAGGGCGAGACCAAGGTGGGAGTCCTAGACAGACCTGTGCTTTCTGTCCCTGGAGATCACTTCTTCATTCAGATGCTGCTTGAGAAGAGGCTGACTTGTATTTTTGTGCCTTTAGTTGTCACATTAATTTTGGAGGAGTTGATTTTTATCTCCTTTTACAGACGGAAAAACACAGACTCAGAGAGATAGTTTCCTACAGGTTACTTAGCTGGTTAGTGGCAAAGCCAAGAGCTGGGCTCACACATCCCCAGACCAAGTGTCCCACCCCGACAGGTGCTCTCTGGTTTGCTCTAATGTGCACGCACACCTGGTGTGGGCCCCAGTTAGCTGCAGATGACGCCTGGCTCCTGAGGGCTCAGGTACAGCGTCCTGGCTTCATGGTGGTGTGGCAGCCACCTGTACACCGTTTGTCCTTTGCTGTCAGTGTTCAGTAAATCATGCGAGCCCAGCTCCTGGCTAGTGCAAGTGTCCCAAGCACGTTGACACTGGGCTGCACTGAGCTAAGCCAGAGGGGTACAGCCTGCCCCTACCCACCCAGTTCATGCAGGCCGAACAAGTGCATAGGAAGTCGAACAGAGAGACGGGATGTCGGTGTCAGAGGTGCTCCTGGGTACCTCCCCTCTGAACCTGAGCAAAGACTGTGCACTGGGGAGGCAGGGCCAGAGAGGCTCTAGAGCAGACTTGTATAGAGGGCTTAGGGGCTGGAGGCCAGGCTCCTCTTCTTGAGGCCACCTGTGTGATCCGCCGGGCCCAGCACAGCAGGGGATAGGGGGCCCCTGGTTACAACATTATTAAGGATTCAAAGACAGCGACATCAGAGCCTTAAACTCAAAGCCTTGGAGCTTGGCTTGGAGTCTCTGTCCTTGTGGCTCGTGCCCAGCATCCAGCCTCATTTCTGTTCTTTGTTCTTAAGCAACTGATGAGGCTTCCTTTCGTGAATGAGGCCCAAAGACGACACCAGGTGGGAGTTCTCATCGTGGTGGGATTCTGGTGCTGTAGGTGCCTGTTCATGGAGAGGGTGGAGACAGGGGTGCACATCGCCTGCCCTGAGCCAGCCTGCCAGGGCACGGCAGGGCCCTGTCTCCTTCCCTCGGCTTAGAACTCGGCACTCAGGGATTAAAAGTTTGTTTGTTTACTTTTCATTTTATTTGAAAGGGAGAGACAGAAAGCGAGGCGGGGAGGGAGACGTGGAGAGAGATCTTCCATCCACAAGTTCACTCTTCAAATGCTTACAACAGCCAGGGCTGGGTCAGTTCAAAGATGGGAGCCCAGAACTCAATGATCCAGGTGGCAAGGACCTGAGTACCCCAGCTGTCACCTCCTACCTCCCAGGGTGCGTGTTAGCAGGAAGCTGGAACTGCACCTCCTGCCCCTCAGGGTGCATGTTAGCAGGAAGCTGGAATTGGAGGTGGAGCAGGAACTGAAACCAGGCATTCTGATACAGGATGCAGGCATCCCAAGTGGTGTCTGAACCGCCACGCCACACGCCCTCCACCCTTGTCCTCTGTGATACAGTTTTTCATCATAGTAAAAAGTGCCTGCTCATATATTCAGTGGATAATGTCAAACTTTGTGTTTTTTTTCTGAAATATATAACCAAAGACTCAGCTGAGATGCATATTATTTGTTGAATACTCATGGATAGTAGAATGTACTTTGTGTTCCATGACTTCTGATATCTTTTGGACAATTTTCTGCCTATGGTGTGGACTCGTGTCCCTTTTGCCTGAGATTCTAGTCTCTGTAAGTCCATCTTTAACTGGGTACTGGAGCTGAGGCAGACCCTGAGGGCCAGTGCTGACACCACCTGCCCTCCCCCTGCACTGATTCCTGGCCTGAGTGCCTGTGTGCAGGCTTCGTCTGGGCCCTGCTCTGAGAAGAGATGATGGCAACCAAGGTGCCAGGCAAGGCCTGGACCAGTGAAGAGATTCCTCCCTCTTGTGAAAGGACCTTGCGGTATCCCCAGATTCAGTCTGACGTCACCGCTGCCAGGCAGGGTGGCCTGGACAGGACGTGGCAGCCTGGGGTTGCAGCCTAGCCCTGCAACCCCCACTCCCCACCATGTGACCTTGGACAGCCGACAGGGCCACCTGGTCAGCACGTGTGCCCTCCATGCTGTGGGCACGCTGGGAGCTCATGGGGAGCATTGCGCTGAGGGTCAGGTGAGAGAGTTCCTGAAGTCCCTGCAGATGATGTTTGCAGCGGCACTCGTGTGCCTGGGGCTCGGTACCGGGATGCAGCAGGCAATCAGGAGCGCTTCCTCCCACAGGCAGAGGCAGACGTGGCCATGGAAGCACGTGTCTGCACAGATGATAACAGGCGCAGGGGATGGGCTGAACCTGAGACAGCTGGTTTCACCGCTGCTGACTCCTGCTCCCTTGCTGTTTCAGGGAGGGACTGTTGAGGCAGGGGCACGGGCAGGGGATTGTCTGTTTCTGACAAAAATCACTTCTCACAGACTCAGTGATTGACTTTAGACTTACCTGTAGTGGCTGTCAAAGTACAAATTACTCTTTTTGGCACCCTGGAAAGCACAATGATCATTTTTTTGACTATGAGAGAGAACGAATCTGTGATACCAGGCATAAGGACCTGTTTAAGAGACAATGAGTTCTTCATCTTCGGTTGGGGGTGGACTAGGGTACAAGTGTCCTGCAGGCCAAGGGAGGCTGCTAAGGGTGGAGGGGGCAGGTGAGATGAGCACAGCTGCCCTGGCTCCTTTGTGGAGAAGCCCCTGCAGCTTATCAGAGACTGACGTCAGAGAGAGGGCAGCCTGAGTCCCAGGAGCTACCGAGGGGCAGCTTGGTAGAGGGAGAAAGAGCATGGGTTCCAGAGCTGACAGCCTTGTGTTTTGAGTCTGAGCAATGATTTATCAGGGCCTAAGATGGTCAGGCCGCCCCACCTGTCAGGTAGAGTTTTCCTTCTTCGTAAAATAAGACAAGTGCTGGTTCCGACCAGGTGGCAGCTGGTCCTGCACTGTGTTACTCTGTGCCATCATCTTGTGAATGGATCCAAGATGCCAGCTCCCGGTCATCATCACAGGTGTGGTGGAGCTGGTCCTGGATCCTGTGCAGGCTGCCTGGCACAAGGTGTTTGCAAAAGCTGAAGGCTCCGTGAAAGCTGAGGAATTCCGGTCAGCAAATGCTGGAAAAGCCTCTGCTTCCCCTTCTGCCAACACCTATCTGCTAGGCCCTGCCCGGAGTTCCCAGGCCTGGGCCCGAGTCCCTGTGGCACGAGATGCTGGCGGTGGTGTTCCCAGGCAGGTTTGCTCACCTGCTAAGAGCCCGAGGGCCTGCCTTGTGATCCCAGGGTCACTGCTGTTCCCCCGAGGTGATTACAAACAGCAGTGGGGCAGCCGTGTGGAAGGGCTGCATGCCTCATGCGGGGTCTGACTTTCCTTCTCTGCCTTCCAGTTTCACAACTGGTGTTCCAGGTGAGAGCCAGGCTCTGCCTGCTGGCATATCTGGGACACCCGTCATGGGTACTCTGCTGGTGTCTCATTGCTTTGCAAGAAATCACCAACTTCCCAGTTTAGAGCAATACAGATTGAGTTCCTCACTGTCAGTGAGATCGGGACATCTAGTGCAGTCCTATGCCCAGGCTGTGTCCACATCTCAGGCTCAATCAGGGGAGGTCTGTGTCCATACCCCTCATGGAGTCCTCAGCCATTTCCCTGAGGTGGCCTCCCTCAGGTCCCCGTTCCCTGCTGGCCCCAGCCCCTCACTCAGGTCCCCCGTACCATGCTGGCCTCAGCCCCTCCTTCAGGTCCCTGTTCACCACTACTGGCCCCCAGCCCCTCCCTCAGGTCCCTGTTCACCCCTGCTGGCCCCCAGCCCCTCCCTCAGGTCCCTGTTCACCCCTGCTGGCCCCCAGCCCATCCCTCAGGTCCCTGTTCACCCCTGCTGGCCCCAGCCCCTCCCTCAGGTCCCTGTTCACCCCTGCTGGCCCCAACCCTACCCTCAGGTCCCTGTTCACCCCTGCTGGCCCCCAGCCCCTCCCCCAGGTCCCTATTCACCGCAGATGGCCCCCAGCCCCTCCCTAGGGTCCCTGTTACCCCTGCTGGCCCCCAGCCCCTCCCTCAGGTCCCGGTTCACCCCTGCTGGCCCCAACCCTACCCTCAGGTCCCTGTTCACCCCTGCTGGCCCCCAGCCCCTCCCCCAGGTCCCTATTCACCGCAGATGGCCCCCAGCCCCTCCCTAGGGTCCCTGTTACCCCTGCTGGCCCCCAGCCCCTCCCTCAGGTTCCGGTTCACCCCTGCTGGCCCCCAGCCCCTCTCTCAGGTCCCTGTTCACCCCTGCTGGCCCCAGCCCATCCCTCAGGTCCCTGTTCACCCCTGCTGGCCCCCAGCCCCTCCCTCAGGTCCCTGTTCACCCCTGCTGGCCCCCCAGCCCCTCCCTCAGGTCCCTGTTCCCTGCTAGCCCCCAGCCCCTCCCTCAGGTCCCTATTCACTGCGGATGGCCCCCAGCCCTTCCCTCAGGTCCCTGTTCACCTCTACTGACCCCAGCCCTTCTCTCAGGTTCCTGTTCACCCCTGCTGGCCCCCAGCCCCTCCCTCAGGTCCCTGTTCACCCCTGCTGGCCCCCAGCTCCTCCCTCAGGTCCCTGTTCACCCCTGCTGGCCCCCAGCCCCTCCCTCAGGTCCCTGTTCCCTGCTAGCCCCCAGCCCCTCCCTCAGGTCCCTATTCACTGCGGATGGCCCCCAGCCCTTCCCTCAGGTCCCTCTTCACCCCTACTGACCCCAGCCCTTCTCTCAGGTTCCTGTTCACCCCTGCGGGCCCCCAGCCCCTCGCTCAGGTCCCTGTTCACCCCTGCTGGCCCCCAGCCCCTCCCTCAGGTCCCTGTTCACCCCTGCTGGCCCCCAGCCCCTCCCTCAGGTCCCTGTTCACTGCTGCTGGCCCCAGCCCATCCCTCAGGTCCCTGTTCACCCCTGCTGGCCCCCAGCCCCTCCCTCAGGTCCCTGTTCACCCCTGCTGGCCCCCAGCCCCTCCCTCAGGTCCCTGTTATCCCTTCTGGCCCCCAGCCCCTCCCTCAGGTCCCTGTTCACCCCTGCTGGCCCCCAGCCCCTCCCTCAGGTCCCTGTTCACTCCTGCTGGTCCCAGCCCATCCCTCAGGTCCCTGTTCACCCCTGCTGGCCCCCAGCCCCTCCCTCAGGTCCCTGTTCACCCCTACTGGCCCCCAGCCCCTCCCTCAGGTCCCTGTTCACCCCTGCTGGCCCCCAGCCCCTCCCTCAGGTCCCTGTTCACCCCTACTGGCCCCAGCCCTTCTCTCAGGTCCCTATTCACCCCTGCTGGCCCCAGCCTCTCCCTCAGGACCCTGTACCCTGCTGGCCCCCAGCCCCTCCCTCAGGTCCCTGTTCACCCTGCTGGCCCCAGCCCCTCCCTCAGGTCCCTGTTCACCCCTGCTGGCCCCAGCCCCTCCCTCAGGACCCTGTTCCCTGCTGGCCCCCAGCTCCCCCCCTTAGGTCCCTGTTCACCCCTGCTGGCCCCAGCCCCTCTCTCAGGTCCCTGTTCCCTGCTGGCCCCCAGCCGCCCCTCAGGTCCCTGTTCCCTGCTGGCCCCCAGCCCCTCCCTCAGGTCCCTGTTCACCCCTGCTGGCCCCAGCCCCTCCCTCAGGACCCTGTTCCCTGCTGGTCCCCAGCCCCTCCCTCAGGTCCCTGTTCACCCCTGTCCCCCAGCTCCTCCCTCGGGTCCCTGTTCACCCCTGCTGGCCCCCAACCCCTCCCTCAGGTCCCTGTTCACTCCTGCTGGCCCCCAGCCCCTCCCTCAGGTCCCTGTTCACCCCTGCTGGCCCCCAGCCCCTCCCTCAGGTCCCTGTTCACCCCTGCTGGCCCCCAGCCCCTCTCTCAGGTCCCTGTTCCCTGCTGGCCCCAGCCCCTCCCTCAGGACCCTGTTCCCTGCTGGCCCCCAGCCGCCCCTCAGGTCCCTGTTCCCTGCTGGCCCCAGTCCCTCTCTCAGTTCCCTGTGCTGCTGGCTTGAGTTCCTAGGGGCCACCCCTCCAGGAGGGGTCTGGCCCCCTTTATGGGCTCACTTGATCACATCTGTCCCATCTACAGCAATCTCCCTTTTGATGAACTCAGTCAGCTGGTTGGGGACCTCTATTAAGTCTACAGGAACCATTCACCTGTGTCCTGTCATGTGGCTTGGTCATCATGTTCACACTCAGGTCGTCTCTGGGTTGTTTTGGGGTTTCTTGCGGTCTTGGGGTTGTTTCAGAGTTCTGTCTCCCCAGCAGCTGCTGACTTACAACTAACAAGGAGGTGGGCTGGGTGGAGAAGTCATGGTCTTGGGGGCACAGGTGACCCACACTCTGGGCCTCTTGCCAATGACCCCAGCCTTCTTCCTGCATTGAGAGCCTGTGGGCCCTTGGGGTGCTGTGTGCCGTAAGGAGCCACACCAGGTCCAGCTGTAGCTTTGTGAGGTGGCCTTGCTTTGCCAGCAGGAGCTCAGCCTGCAGAGGGTGGAGGAGGCACCCTGTGTGTAGTGTCAGGACAGTGGCAATACCTTGCTTTGCATGGTTTCAGAGAAAGCAGGGCATACCAAGCTCTGAACTTCCCACCTCACAATGGGCATGGTGGCCACCACCTTTGTGGGAAGAAAATCATCAGCGGGCTGATCTGAAACCCCATGAAAAGTTCAAAACTACCTGCTAACCCCAGGGTTCTTTTGCATGTGTGTGTCTAGATGTCCAGTGGGTTCAAGGGGACGTGTGTGAAGTCCAGCTGATGGTGTACAACCCCATGCCATTTGAGCTCAGAGTGGAGAATATGGTATGTACCACTAGTGGCCTCTGTGACCGAGAACTCCAGCGTGTCACTAATATGCGTCTTTGCTTAGTGTTAGAGGCACTAATTTTTGCACACATGTCTGCTTTGCCCAAGATGGTAAGTGTTTGGGGAGTGAAGTCCATATTTTGTCATTACCGTGTCTCATGCTTGCTGCCGAGTAGATGTCTGAGGCACAGAGCAACCCTGGGCTTGTACACGCACTGAGCTTTGCCCATTGGCTATGAGATTGGAAGTCAGCACTTCGGAGTTCACAGGAGCTTACTGGAGATTGTTGTGCTGCTGTGAGGTGACACAGGGATCGAGGCGCAGGGGGAGCTGTAGAGAGAGGTGCTGTGTTACGGCATGTAGGGTGTGGAAGATTCATGCCCTGGGTCCATGCTTGCTTGGCGGACTTGTGCCGCCTTCAGACTACCATGGGATCCGTTCCCAAGGTTCTCTGTACTGCGACCAGAATCATAATCGTGTTCCATGTGAGAACCAGGCTCTTCCTGCTGGTGTCTCACTGAGGGTCATGCCCTGTGCCAGGTACAGGGTGCGTGGCACCCAGGGGATACGAGGGCCCATAGGCCTCATCCCTGGTGGGAACACAATGAGCTGTGTTGGGGATGCATGGCGCCTGCCTGGGAGAGATGCCCCTGCTGGCTGGGCCAGACTGCCAGGTGGAGCCACAGTTTTCTGCAAGCCAGGACTGTTGGGCAGCTCTGCTGCATGTGGCTGCTCCCCGAGCCTGTGTTAAGCCTGCAGTCCTGAGACTGAGGACCGGTGTTCCCCCAACTGTTACACAAGGGTGCACTGGCCTCAGGACATGGCCGTGCAGACGTGCCTCTGCTGTGGCTGTCTGACTCTTGGAATCCAAGGGGGGAATTTACCCCAAAGTAGTTAAAGTGTCAGATGATTGCTACTGTTTCTTATAAATATTTTTCATTTTTAAAAGTAGCATTTTTACCTGGTTTAAAAGTAATAAATTATGTGTTTTAATAAATCAGGAAGGGTAGAGACTTAGACAAGAGAAAAGCACCACTTGGATATAGCTGGCATACCATGGTGCTGTGTCGAAAGCTGACTCATGGAACACTTCAGACGTGCACACGCCACCCACATTTCAGGCAGGCAGCGGTGGCCACACTGCCCTGGCTGTTCTAAAGACAGAGAGGCCAGTGTGTCTGTTAGAGATGAAAGGCATGTGATCAGCTTCTCTGAGTGCGCCCTGCCCACTGCGCCCCCTCCACACGCACACACGCAGATCACTTCACGCCTTTGCCTCACATGTGGGCGGCAGGCGTACTCACTGCCCCCAGAGTGTCTTTGCTGCCGGTGTTTCCTGTGCACAGAGCTAGAGACAGTGTATGTGCATTCCACACATCCAGCTGTCTACACCACGCGCACATCTGTGCATGCAGTTTTCATACATCCTGAACTCACATCGAGGCCCGGCATCTTGCCTTCCTGCGTTCCATGTTTGTGCCCTTCCTCCCAGCACACCCACTACATGCCTTGTCCTGCCACAGATAAAAGAGGTTTGTTTTAAAATTTTATTTATTTATTTATTTAGTTATTTATTTATTTATTTATCTGAAAGTTGAGTCACAGAATCCATTTGCTGGTTCACCCCCCAGGTGTCTGCCCAAGCCAGGACTGAACCAGGCTTGAAGACAGTTCTGTCTGGATCTCCCACATGGGTGGCAGAGGCCCAAACACTTGGGCCATCTTCTGCTGTTTTCTCAGGCATATTGGCAGGCAGCTGGATCGGAAGTGGAGCAGCCAGGATGCAAACCAGCAGCAATATGGGATGCTGGTGTTGTAGGCAGCGGCTTTACCTGCTACACCCCAATGCTGGCCCTGGGTCTGAGAGTTTGAGGGCTTCCTTGACTGCATGCTGCGGAAAGCGGACCCCCCACAAACAGGGCAGGACTCTGTGTCTTGAGTTCTTTAATTTATCTCAGCAGGGTCCTGTAACTGTGACGAAATCTTGCACGTTATTCGTTAGATTTACTCCAAGGTAGTTGGAATTTTTGGTGTCTTGTTCATTTTTTTAAACATTTTATTTTCCAATAGTTGACTGGTGATTGTTGACATCTTTTAGATTGTGGGAGACCAGGAAGAAGCTTCTGGATCCTGGCTTTGGCCTGGCCCAGCCCCGGCCATTGCAGCCATTAGTGGAGTAAAACAGTAGATGGAAGATCTCTCTGTCTCTGTTTCCCTCTTGCTTTCAAATAAATAAATAAGTGTTTCAAAAAAAGATAAATAAAAATTTTTCCTTTGTGTTCATATTCCCATTTGGTACAAGAAGAAAGCAAACCAAACATCAGAAACATGGTGGAGAGGACCAAAATCAAGGACAGCGGCTGTTGATCTGACTGCCCCGTGCATCACGTGTGCATGGTCTCGCAGTTCTCTGTGGGTTCTTTTTTTTTTTTATTTATTTATTTTTGACAGGCAGAGTGGACAGTGAGAGAGAGAGACAGAGAGAGTTGGTTCACCCTCCAATGGCCGTTGGTTCACCCTCCAATGGCCGCCGCGGCCGGCGCGCTGCAGCCGGCGCACCGCGCTGATCCGATGGCAGGAGCCAGGAGCCAGGTGCTTTTCCTGGTCTCCCATGGGGTGCAGGGCCCAGGCACCTGGGCCATCCTCCACTGCACTCCCTGGCCACAGCAGAGAGCTGGCCTGGAAGAGGGGCAACCGGGACAGAATCCGGCGCCCCGACCGGGACTAGAACCCGGTGTGCCGGCGCCGCTAGGCGGAGGATTAGCCTAGTGAGCTACGGCACCGGCCTCTCTGTGGGTTCTAAGAAGCCACAGCCTTCCACTGCCTTGTTCTTGGTTGCCAGGTGTGCGGTGCAGGCTGGTTCTGCTCACGTTGCTCTGTGCCTTGCTGCAGGGGCTGCTGACCAGCGGAGTGGAATTCAAGTCGCTCCCCGCAGCACTCTCCCTTCTGGCCAAGTCTGGTCTGTACCCAGTGACGCTCGTAGGGGTCCTGCAGACGACTGGAACGATCACTGTGAACAGTAAGGGCTTTTCTGATTGCTGCTATTGAGGGCTGCCACACTGCTGTTCCATACACCAGGGTCCAGAGCCTCTCACCCATCTCATTTGTCCTCGTCCATCAAGGTATGGGGAACGACTGCCTTTCCTTGGGATGTGGTGCAAGTTGGTGGGTGTGATTGGCACCTGCCAGGCTCCTGCTGCGGTGGGCGGGGCCCTCCCTGTGCTCTGTCTGCCTCCTCCTCCAGACAGTCTTCCAATGGCTTGGTTCCTACCTCTGCACCCTGACCTCTCCTGATGCCACGATGTCCCATGTGCTCTCAGGAAGCCCCTGTCATCTGCTGGATATCTTGGGAGAGTTGGCTGTGCACGTTGAGTCCCTTCTGCCACTGGTGCCATGGTCCTGTACCCCTCCACATCCTGAGTTTATCCCTTATCCCTTCACCAGAACACATCTGTGGCGTCACTAGTAGCGTTTACCTGCCTAAACCTGGGACCAGTTGTTTGGTTTGCTTGGAGCTTTAGTGCTCATTTGCCACCCTGCATGTGTGGCGAGCTGTGTCCTCCAGCCTTGGTGACACCACACCCTCCAGATTTTCCGCTGTCTCTTTGGCCCTTCTTCCTCAGTCTTTCTGGTCTTGTGCAGGTGTCCCCGTGCAGCCCAGCCCTCTGACAGGTGCTCCTCGCTCTGTGTTTCTTGTCCTCCTCTCTGTCCTCTGTAAGTCACCTGTGGTGAGGGTGTCCCCAGCCCCACAGCATTTTTCTACCTCACAGCCCTGCAGACTGCTGACCACCCCCGGGGTCGGGTGCCCTTCCCTGGCCTGTGCCCCAGCACTTCCCAGCTATCCCCCTGGTGTCCGATGGGTGGGACATGCATGTTCAACATGTCCAACCCAAGTGTACTGCCTCCCCTCCCCAAAGCGGTCTCTCCTCTGAGACCCCTCTCTCTCCTCTGAAGGTGTCGTGGTCAGCCAGTGGGAGTCACTTTCCCTCGTCATCAGGCCGAGTTCCCCAGCCCTGTGTGTTCCTGTGCTCCTCTGCCGAGCCTTCCTGCTGAGTTACACATTGTTCCTCTACCTTTGCTGTATTGCGAGTGCCCTACCCTTTTCTACTTCCTCCGATATGTGCGCAGGCTTAGTGGTCCCTGAGCTGTGCATCTCTGTGCAGAGCAGTTGGCATTGTTCTTTGGTGTGTCTTGTGCACGAAGCTAGATGGGCTGACTCTGTACTGCTGGGCACAGTAATGTGTGGACCCCAAGTCTTTGTCATCAGACTATTATGTGATAGCAATTTTCAGCAATGGTAAGGAAAGGCCTGATTCTAATTAGGGATTATAAAATAGTGGTTGCTCAGCAGGCGAAACATATATCACGCTCCTATTGAAAGAGAAATGCGATTAGTGTTAGCAGGTACTAGACTTGTTTATGTGCTCCCTTTGACTCTTAGTCCTTTCATTATGATCAATTGTGAACTGAAATTGATCACTTGGAATAGTGAGATGGCATTGGCACATGCCACCTTGATGGGATTAAACTGGAATCCCCTGGTATGTTTCCAACTCTACCAATTGGGGCAAGTCAGCCCGAGCATGCCCCAAATTATACATCTCTTCCCTCTCTTATTCCCACTCTTATGTTTAACAGGGATCACATTTCAGTTAATTTTCAACACTTAAGAATAACTGTGTGATAATTACAGAATTAAACCAGTCATATTAAGTAGAACAGACAAAAAAAATACTAAGAGGGATAATGTATTACACTAACCGATAGAATAAATAAAGGGGAGAGTGATCCAACATGGGAAGTGAGATACTCAGCAGACTCATAGAATGGCAGATGTCCTAAATAGCACTCTGGCCTCAGAATCAGCCCTAAAGGCACTCGGATCTGGCTGAAAAGCCCATGAGAGTATTTCAGGCATGGAAAGCCAAGACACTCTGGCAAAAAGATCTCTGTTAGTGAGATCCCAGTGGAAAGAACAGGTCTTCAAAGAGGGAGGTGCCTTTCTCTGAAGGGAGGAGAGAACCTCCACTTTGACTATGACCGTGTCTAAACAAGATAAGAGTCAGAGAACTCAAGGGGCTTCCATAGCCTTGGAAACTCATGACTGGTGCATAGGGAGATTACCGATGCCATAAACAGGAGTGTCAATTTGTAAAGTCAACAACAGGAGTCACTGTGCACTTACTCCTCATGTAGGATCTCTGTCCTTAATGTGCTGTACATTGAGGCTTAATCCTTTAACGAGTACTCAAACAATATATTTCACTTTGTGTTTCTATGGGGGTGCAAACGATTGAAATCTTTACTTAATGTACACTAAATTGATCTTCTGTAAAAAAAAAAAAAAAGAAAAGAAATTATCAATTCCCAACTTGACTCTCACTGGGATTAAACATGACAATAGGTCTGCTCTGATTTCATCATCATTTAAAAAAATCATCTATTATTTTTCACTTTATGTTTCTGTGTGGGAGCAAACTGTTGAAATCCTTACTTAAGGTATACTAAGCTGATCTTCTGTATATAAAGAGAATCGAAAATGAATCTTGATGTGAATGGAAGGGGAGAGGGAGTGGGAAAGGGGAGGGTTGTGGGTGGGAGGGACGGTATGGGGGGGGAAGCCATTGTAACCCATGAGTCGTACTTTGGAAATTTATATTCATTAAATAAAAGATAAAAAAAACTGTAATCGAGCCACAAATAAATAAAAGAGTGTGTTTAAAATTAAAAAAAAAAAGAAAAGAAAGAGAAATGCGAGAGACCCTGGTTCCAGATGTGGGTTTGTGGGGAGAATAGTGTTTTGCCCATTGCAGGGGTGTTTTGACAAGCCCACTCTCTGAAGGGGGGTGAGCTGGAGTGGTGTTGAGAGAGCAGCTTCCAGCCAGCAGGAGCCACAGGAGGACTGAGGAGGCTGCTGGGGCCCCAGGAGCCCTTGAAAGCCATGCTGCCTTCTCCACTGAGCACACCCCAGGCTCACACAAGTGTAGGCAGGTTGTCACCTGAGCCTCGAGCCATTGGGTATGGTTTCATTTTGTTGCACAGTAAATGCTGTTGATAATAATTAGCTAAATTTCAAAAGCCATTCTACAGCTTTGCTTAAATAGTTTCAAGTGCTTATCTCACCAGTGGAAAATTTGCTCATCTTAAACGGCAGTGCTCACACACACACAGCCAGTTCACCCCATCACGAAGCCGCTGCAATAATAATGATTGGCTCTTGAACTTTCGTCTTTCAACAGAAGGTTCTGAAGCATTTTTCAAATACTCATTAAATTGCATTATATCCCGGGAAGGAATATTAACTGCCATCCTCCCTGTGGAGATGGATAAATCTGAAAAGCAAATGAGTCCCGGGCTGAGATGCTGACTACGGGTTGTGCAGAGATTGATGGCTTACAGGAGCTTCTCCATTTGGGCCCAGTCAGCCTGGTGGGATGGGAGTACAGGTGCTGTTGTAACCCCCACCACAAAGGAGGAGCCCGAGGGATGTTGAGGCTGTGGGCAGGGACTAGCAGGTGACGGAGCCAGCACCAAGACCCAGGTCTTCTGCAGGGTTGCCCTTGCTGGTTGGGGACTTCAGCAGTGGACATGAAGGTGGACGTGGGGCATGGAGCTTTGCTGGGAGTTGTGACGTCTTTGTTTTCCTGTGTCCCAGGTTACCACACCACCGTCTTTGGTGTTGTCAGTGACTGCCTGCTGGACCACCTCCTGGGAATAAAGACCAGCAGCTCTACCATGGAAGTTATCCCTGCTTTGCGAAGACTGCAGATCAGCACCTCCCTGCCCAGGTAGCTGGTGAGTGCAGGTGTCCAGCTGCGGGCAGGAAGCAGCCCTGTGGAGCCTTCCCTCGTGAGGCACACAGGCTCTGCATGCGTCCAGAATTTGCAGGCCCAGAATCTGCAGGAGGGGGCCTTGAGAGTCTGCAGTAGTTCATACGTTTTACCCAGAACAAATTAGAGCAGTCAAGATCTCCCATACTAAGGCTAGGACCAAATGTGAAATTATTCTTCCAAAAACAGTCAGGATCTTAGGGCATCTAAGAAAATCACTCTTCTGACAGAATTATTTTATTTTATTTTTTAAAGAAATATTTATTTATTTTGAAAGAGTCACAAAGAGAGGGAGAGACACACAGAGTGAGTGAGAACTCTTTCATCCTCTGGTTCACTCTCCAGATGGCCGCAACGGGGAGCATTGGGCCAGGTCGAAGCCAGGAACCATGAACTTCATTCAGGTCTCCCGTGTGGGTGTGGGGATCCAAACACATGGGCTGTTTTTCGCAGGCTGTTAGCCAGGAGCTTGATTGGAGTAGAGCAGACAGAACCTGAACTGGCACCCATATGGGATTGTTTTATTTTTGTTTTAGATTTTCAGCATCACAGGGAAGTGTAAAGGAGAAAGGGAAGTGGGTGTCAGGAGGCCTGGAGCCAGTCACCGTAAATGCTTGGAGGTGCTTCCCGCCACTTTAGAAAACACTTGTCTGAACACGGAGTCATAGATGAGTTTTTGTGAAATCACATTAATAAGCTTTTTTTTTTTTTTTGACAGGGAGAGTGGACAGTAAGAGAGAGAGAGAGACAGAGAGAAAGGTCTTCCTTTTTGCCATTGGTTCATGGCTGCCGCGGCCGGCGCATTGCACTGATCCGAAGCCAGGAGCCAGGTGCTTTTCCTGGTCTCCCATGCGCATGCGGGTGCAGAGCCCAAGCACTTGGGCCATCCTCCACTGCACTCCCGGGCCATAGCAGAGAGCTGGCCTGGCAACCGGGACAGAATCCGGTGTCCCGACCGGGACTAGAACCCGGTATGACGGCACCGCAAGGCGGAGGATTAGCCTAGTGAGCCACGGCGCCGGCCAATAAGCTTTTCCTCACACTTTCACAGAGTCTTAAAAAACCCGGTTTTAGTTGCTTTAAAAAGGACACCCTGAAGATATCTCAGGATTGCATAACCGCTCTTTCCTTGCTGTTGGATTTGGGGCGTTCTCATTGTTGCCCTCAGGGGTGACACTTCTTGGACATCGTTTGGCTATTTTTATCAGATGTGTCTGGGGTTTTCTGAAAGGTTTTAAGCTCGTTTGTGTGTCTGATGCATGTTTGTTGCCTGCTAGGCAGCGGGCCAGGTGCCAGAGCTGAAACCGTGGACCCAGCATTTTGGGGCTTGGTGCTCAAGGAGGCTGTGTTCAGTGGGAGAGATGGAGAAGGCAGAACCAGCATGGGCACTGCCCTCAGGACCCCACTGCGGGCCACGAGGAGCTGGGAGCAGGAGTTAGCCACGCACAGTGGGCAGCTGGGAGCATTTGTCAGAGGTGGAGAAAGCATCAGGTGATTGGGGAATGCAGTGAAATGCAGGAAACATGAATTCTAAAGCAGATCCCAGACCTGACTGTGAGGGCTCAGAACACCAGCCTTTGAAAAGAAAGCTGGTGAGAGTTTTCACGACCTTGTATTAGGCCAAAGAGGTCTTTGACATGTCACCAAAAGCAAGATCCACAAAAGAAAACACTGATAAAAAATCGGCTTCATCAAAATTAAAAACTGCTGTGCTTCCAGAAATAGCATTAAGAAAATGAACCTGACAGCTCACAGGCTGGAAGGAAATATTTGTACATCATGTCTCTGGTAAGGAGCTGCTACTTAACACCCAAACTCAGTACTAAGAAAGCAAACAACTCAATTAGAAAGGTTGACAGAAGAATGGGCTAGCTCTCTCCCCATGAAAGACTTCCCAGGAGCTAATGAGCAATCTGGAAAGGTGTGTGGCATCATCAGTCTTTCTGGAGCTGGTACCGTGTGAGGTTCCTGCTCACACCTGCCAGGGTGGCTGTCGTCAGAAGACAGGCGGTAGCCATGTGTGGTGCTGGAGAAGCTTGCACCCTCGCCATGTGGGTGCCATCTCCAAGGAACCCTGTCCGTTTCTACAAATGTTGAATGTAAATTGACCATGTGACTCAGAAATTCAGTGTCTACCCAAGACCGAGGAAAGCACACAGTGACTCAGAAACTTGTATATGAATGTTCACAGCTGCATTTTTGTAATAGTCCAGAAAGCGGGCAGAACTTGGATGCCCATTGCCGGGCAAATGGCTGAACAAAATGTGGCACATTTGTACCTGGGCTGCCGCTGAGCAAGACAGGCAAGCAGGGCTCCTGACATAGGAACCAAATATGGCCCATTTACACCTGGAGTGCAGCTGAGCAGTAGAGACACACTGACACATGCTCCTGATGCATGCTCCAGCAGGGGCATCGAAGGCCAGGCTGGCTGCCTTTTGTCTCTTACTGAAAAAATGGTATAAGACATATTTTACAAAAAGGTCCCCTATTTCTCTGGGCTAGCCATTTTGGTGTAGTGGGTAAAGCAGCTGCCTGCAACACTGGCATCCCATATGGGTGTTGGTTTGTGTCCCGGCTGCTTTACTTCTAATCCAGCTCCCTGCTATGGCCTGGGAAAGCAGCAGCAGATGACCAAAGTGCTTGGGCCCCTGCACCTGCATGGGTGGGAGACCCAGAAGAAGCTCCTGGCTCCTGGCTTTGGTCTGGCCCAGCCCTGGCCTTTGCAACCATTTGGGAAGTGAGCCAGTGGATGGAAGTGCTCTCTCTCTCTCGCTCTCTCTCTCTCTCTCTTTAATTCTGCCTTTCAAATAAATAAATGTTTTTTCAAGTGACTCTTGATTAATTAAGTGTTGATTGTAACTAAGCTGCTATAAAGGTCCCTGTGACTGGTGGAATCCACTCACCAGCATCTGTAGGCGCCACCTTGTGCTCCAGGACCCTGACCTAGGCCATGACCCTTTAGAAGAGCTCCCTGTCGGGGGGATGGGGGGTTTAGGGGGTTGGTGCGATCATCAGGATTTGCTGACTGCTCCTGTAATGTGAGAACCAGAGGAGGGGATGCCGACCCTGTCTTGTGGGGTTCAGGAAGGCTCCATAGAAAGTGTGGGATTTACAAAGTATGGTCAAACACAGACCGTAAGGAAGGGAGTGAAATGTGACTGAGAAGAGAAGGACGGGGCAGATGCAGAGCCCTGGAGAGGCAGCTCCCCAGAGACAGAAAGGAGCTCAGCACAGGGCACAGTGTGCACAGGCCTCCCTGTAGGTTGGCCATGCAAAGGAGCAGAACCCTGTGGGCATTGGGGGGGCACAGAGCCTGGCAGGAGGACTGAGGCTGGGCGTGTGGCCTGATGGCTCGTGTGTGGGCACAATGCGGCTCTGCCTGCCTTCCAGTCTCTTTTTTTTAAAGATTTATTTATTTTTATTTGAAAGGCAGAGTTACAGAGAAACACACACACACATGCACCCAGAGAGAAAGAGAGAGAGAGAGAGAGAGAGAGAGAGAGAGATCTCATCTGCGGTTCACTCCCCAAATGGCCACAAAGGCCAAGTTGAAGCCAGGAACTAGGAGCTTCATTTTGGTCTCTCCTATGTGGGTGGCAGGAGTTCAGATACTTGGACCATCTTCCAATGTTTTTCCAGGTGTGTTAGCAGGGAGCTGGATTGGAAGTGGAGTAGCTGGGACTTGAACCGGCACCCATTAAGGGATACTAGTGTTGCATGCAGCGACTTAACCTGCTATGCCACAACACCAGCCCCTGCATTCCACACCTTGAGAGATGCTGCACCGGGCCAGGCACCAAGCAAGCAGCCACTGAACACGCAGTGGTCACTCTGTCCTGGGCTCGGGCAGTCACTGCCGAGATGCTTTTGTGTGCCACACAGGAGGTTCAGAGTTGAGGTGCTTATCAGTCTATTCAATACATTCTCTTTTTTTTTTTTTTTTTTTGACAGGCAGAGTGGACAGTGAGAGAGAGAGACAGAGAGAAAGGTCTTCCTTTGCCGTTGGTACACCCTCCAATGGCTACCGCGGTGCTGCGGCCGGCGCACTGCGCTGATCCGAAGCCAGGAGCCAGGTACTTCTCCTGGTCTCCCATGGGGTGCAGGGCCCAAGGACTTGGGCCATCCTCCATTGCACTCCCGGGCCACAGCAGAGAGCTGGCCTGGAAGAGGGGCAACCGGGACAGAATCCGGGGCCTGACCGGGGACTAGAACCCGGTGTGCCGGCGCCGCAGGCAGAGGATTAGCCTAGTGAGCCGCAGCGCCGGCTCAGTACATTCTTAATAAGTACCTATTAGACACTAGGTGTCTGGCTAGGAGCTGATAGCATTCCTGCCTTGGGAAGGCTCTGGGGCCAGCACAGGGCCGAGGAGGACAGTGCTGCCGGTGGGAGCTGGGTCCCAGTGCCACATCCCAAGTGTGCCTTTGCAGCAGTGCCAGCTGCAGTCTCACTCTGACACCGTTCCTCACAGCTCCGGGGCTCCTGCACTGTGGGTGCCTCCTTCTGCCCCTCTCTCCTGAAGCACAGAGGGCCTGGGCACCCTACTGTGTGAGATGCCCAGTGATTAGTCCCGGCCGAGTTTTGTTACCTCCTGACACCTTCCCCCAGGAGCCACTGATGTGCAAGCTGCACAGGGGTCATGCAGGGAGGTTGTGCGTTGGCTTTCCTTCCCTGACCTAGGAGCAAGGAGCGCTGTTACAGATGGTACAGAGGAAGTCGCCCCAACTTGTTGTGCTGTTATTTTCTCAGGATTTGGTTTGGGGAAAAAAGTGCCTCTGATCGGAGCCTGGAGCCAAGGCACATTGTGTGCCTGGCTTACAGAACCCTACTTGTTCTCAGCATGGTTGGCTCCCAAATTTCTCATTCAAAGCCAAGATTCTCTAGCACGTATTTCTGAATGCCAAAATGTGGTCATCCTTTTACCTGATGTGAATCATTTTTTAATTTATTATTTGAAAGGCAGAGAGAGAGAGAGAAAATCGATCATCCAGAGAGAGAGAGAGAGAGAGAGAGAATCCATCTTCCATTTGCTGGTTCACTCCCCAAATGACTGGGGATGGACCAGGACAAAGCCAGGAACCAGGAGCTTCTTCTGGGTCTCCCACATGGGTGCAGGGGCCCAAGCACTTGGGTCGTTTTCCGCTGCTTTCCCAGGCACATTAGCAGAGAACTGGATTGGAAGTGGAGCGGCTGGGATTTGAATTGCCTGGTGCTGCAGGCAACGGCTTTACCCACTGCACCTCAGCAGCGGCCCCTGATGTGAATCATTCCTGCACAGCATTGGTTTCTTCCTTCAGTTTATTCTCCTTGCTTTTGGTTTAGATCGGCACACTCGTTGCAGCCTTCCTCTGGTGACGAGATATCTACCAACGGGTCTGTGCAGCTGTTCAACAGGGAGACTCAGCAACTCGTTGTCACCTTAGAAAACATTGGCCTGGAACCCCTGGAGACACTGGACACCTCCAAACTGCTCCCCACCAAGGGTAGGTGTGGTCAGTGCATCAGACCCTGGGAAGTTTGTGTTGTTGCCTTGCACAAGTGATATTTTACATAGCTACTGTTCAGAAAACCTCAAAGCTTCTTTTAGTTTGGTGCAGTCCTGGTTGGAGTGGAGATCACACACCACATGCTACAGGCATGATGCTGACCCCTTCGTGCCCTTGGTTCCCATTACTGGATCTGAACAGGGGTCAGATCCTCAGAAGACCAATTACTGAGTGGAAGACTGGGAGACAGGAGCAGGCCGATCCCATGGTTCCCACAGCCCAGGGCCGCCTCCTGATTCAGCACTTGAGGGCTGGGCCAGGCCGAAGCCAGGAGCTAGGAACGCCATCCAGGATTCCCATGTGGGTAGCTGGGGCCCAAGCACTTGGACAAACCTCCGCTGCTTTCCCAGGCTCATTAGCAGGGAGCTGGATCAGGAGTAGAACAGCTGCAACTCGAACTGATGCCCATCTGGGATGCTGGCATTGCAGGAGGCTGCTTATCCCTCGGCACCACAGTGCCAAGCCCAAGGTGTAGCTTTTCCACCTCTCTGGGCTGCTGTTTCCTTTGCTGTTGCTGTGCCTTTGAACTTTTCTGGAACTCAGTCCCGTGTCAGCCATCCCTTTCTTTCCTGCCTTCTATCAGGACAGTATTCATTGCAGACTTGCAGGAATCCTATCTAAACAATTGTGTGCCTGCTGTGTAGCTTCCATACTTAGCATTTTGCTGCATTTGCTTTGTAACACATCTCTCTGGCCTCCTACCTACACCCCCCAACCCCGCGCCCAATATCTTGTCTAAAGTTCCAGATTTCAGAAGCACCTGTGACTGCTTCTGAGCTCAATGTTTTTGATAAAATGCACATGTGCTGAAATGTGCAGCTCTAGCATGTTTCATCCAATGAGTTTCAACTGATGCTAGCCCAAGTCATTGTGTAATCTAAGCCCTCATCAAGGGCTATATAATATAGCCTCTCTATAATATAGAACATTTCCATCACCCCAGAAAGTTCCCCAGCTTTCTTCCCAGCAAGTCCCGGTGCAACCCCGGGAGCAAACACTCTTGTCTCTCGTCTGTGTACTGGGCAACCCCACTGGGTGTTTACTGCTGGTGATGCAGGGTGTGGGTGACATGCATGGCAACTGGCAGGTGGCAATTGGCAGACATGCAGCCCAGTCACCTTCTCTTCCCTGCCTTGAGTTTAATTTTCCGCTGGGTCTTGCCCACACCTGGTCGGTCTTAAAAATCTTTAAAGACATTTATTTTCAGGCTGGCACTGTGGTGTAGCTGGTTGAGCCACCACCTGTGGCACTGATAACCCATGTAGGTGCCGGTTTGTGTCCCAGCTGCTCCACTTCTGATCTAGCTCCCTGCTAGTATGCCTGGGAAAGCAATGGAAGGTGGTCCAAGTGCTTGGATCCCTGTAGGAGACTTGGAGGAAGCTCCTGGCTTTTGGCTTCTGGCTCTGGCCTGGTCTGACTCTGACTGTTGGAGCCAATTTGGGGAGTGAACCAGCAGATGGAAGAGTGCTCTCTCTGTGTCTTTCTCTCTGTAATTCTGCTTTTCAAATAAAATAAATCTTTTTAAAAAAGAAATTTACTTTTTTTTTGACATGCAGAGTGGACAGTGAGAGAGAGAGAGAGAGAGAGAGAGAAAGGTCTTCCTTTTCCGTTGGTTCACTCTCCAATGCCCGCTGCAGCTGGCGCACTGCAGCTGGTGCACCGCGCTGACCCAAAGCCAGGAGCCAGGTGCTTCTCCTGGTCTCCCATGTGGGTGCAGGGCCAAAGCACTTGGGCCATCCTCCACTGCACTCCCAGGTCACAGCAGAGAGCTGGACTGGAAGAGGAGCAACTGGGACAGAATCCAGCGCCCCAACCGGGACTACAACCCGGTGTGCCGGCACTGCAGGTGGAGGATTGGCCTATTGAGCTGCGGCGCCGGCCAGAAATTTACTTTCGTTTGCCTGAAAGGCAGAAAGACAGAGAGACAAAGATTATCCATAGATTGTCTAACTTCCAAAGGGCCAAAGGCCCTTGTCTCTAGTTAGGCCTAGGATGGCTGGGGCCTGTGTTACTCTCCTCCTTTTTATGGACAGGGGAAGTAAAGGCAGAAGAGGTGACTGACTAAGGTCACACAGCAGGTGGGTGGGGAACCAGCGGGAGGACCATAGTCTCCTGATTCTCAGCTTTGGTGTAGTCACCCTTAGGAGGCAGAAGCACAATAATCATGTAACACACTGCCCGGTGTAGCCATCTCAGAGCAACACAGTTGCCAGTGAAAAATTAAAGCCATCATTCTTTCTTTAGTTTCCTCCCAAGCTGCCATACATCTACATGTGGAATTAAATTAATGGAAACAAACCATCTGCTTCCAGAATATACAAAGGGAATAATTCCTGGTGCTTTTGCTGTACATGGCAAGGCTGTCAGTGGTGACAGAATCCGCCAGCGGATTCTGTCCCGGATGACCTTCTTCCAGGCCAGCCCTCTGCTATGGCCTGGGAGTGCAGTGGAGGATGGCCCAAGTACTTGGGCCCTGTACCCCATGGGAGACCAGGAGAAGCACCTGGCTCCTTGTTTCAGATCAGCACGATGCACTGGCCACAGCGTGCCGGCCGGGGCGGCCATTGGAGGGTGTACCAACGGCAAAAGGAAGACCTTTCTCTCTCTCTCTCTCACTCACTGTCCACTCTGTCTGTCAAAAATTAAAAAAGAAAAAATCCAGGGGACCGGCCGGCGCCATGGCTCACTAGGCTAATCCTCCGCCTGCAGCGCTGGCACCCTGGGTTCTAGTCCCAGTCGGGGCACCGTATTTTCGTAAAAAGTGAAAAGCAAGTTACATTAATTTAATATAAGAGATAAATGCAACAAAGAAGATTTAATTTTGGCAATGTTTATTTGAAATAAACTTAATTCATCATGTTTTAATTGATGACAAATGAATTAGGAAGTTATTTTTGACAGGATAGAGGTTTCTTAACTTAAAAATATTTTACATCACTATACCTTCAGTAAAGATCCCCTACAATGTATTTACATGTATTTTAGTAGGTAACTAACAGCAGCCAGTGCTGCAGCTCACTTGGCTAATCCTAGCCTCCGGCCTTTCCTCTTTATCTCCTTATTTGGAAGGGTTTGCGAATCACGGATTTTAATGATCTTTTCCCTGGGCGTTGTCACTGGTGGAGCCATCTGGTCCTGGACTTTTCTTCTCGTCTTCTTGGTTTGTTTGTTTCATTTTCCCTGCTACTACAGTCTCTTTGCAAATTAGAAGTGTATTCAGAGTTTCTTGTTTCACTGTATTCGGTTTTCGTGGTTTACATCTTTCTGCAAGTCAATCCACTCTATCTAGGTTGACCAAATCCTTGTGCCGTGGTTTTTCCACAGTGTTTTTGGATCATTATTTTGGAAGGTTGGTAGCGATGCCCTCTCTGTCATTTCTGTTGTCATGTCGCTTGAGACTCTTCTCCTTTTTCCCCCTGCTTCCTGTGGATAAACATTTTTTCAGGTTGACTGAGATTCCAAGCACTGTAGCTTGGTCTCACTGAATGTCTGTTGTGATATTTTCTATGCCGTTGGGTGGATTTCATTTGAAAATTTTCCTCCTTCCAGTTTCTTAAGATGTACTTTGCTGTTCTAGTGTTTGAAGGTAAAATTGGGTTCATGGATCTGATGTCTGTATTCTGTGTACTAATCCACTTTCCCATGTGAAATTAGCCCTGTCAAAATGGAAAGCTGTGTGGATGTACCCACTACTGGGAACACATTGAAGGAAAAGAAGTCATTGTGTAGAGAGGTTTTCAGAGGCCTGTGCTTATTGCAGTAGGATGCACAGTAGGCTATGCAGTCTGTATATGTGTGGATGTTGTCCATTCCCATAATGTCTTTATTCAGTCTTCAGGTGATGGCTGATTGCATATCTTTGCTACTGTGCATTGAGCTGTAGTAAATATGCAGGCAGAGATTACTCTTTTTCATATGCGAATTTCATTTCCCTTGGGTATATTCCCAGGGGTGGAATGGCTGGCTCATATGGTACTTCTATATTCAGATTTCTGACTTACCTCCCTACTCTCTTCCACAGTGGCGATACCAGTTTACAATCTGACCGGCAGTGGATGAGGGTGCCTCTTCCCCCACATCCTCAAGGCCGTTGTAGTATCGATTTGCATTTCCCTGATGGCTGGTGATCCTGAGCATTTCTGCATGTGTTTACTGGCCATTTAGATTTCCTTTCTTGAAATATTTTGCCTGCTGAGGTCCCTTGCCCATTTCTTGAGTGGGTGGTTTGTTTTGCTGTTGTTGACTTTCTTGAAAGTTTCTGGCAGTTGATTCTTTATCAGTTGCATGCTTTGCAACTGTTCGTTTGCCTCTTCACTTTGCTGAGTGTCTCTTTGGCAGTGCAGAAGCTGCTCAATTTGTTGTTGTTGTTGTTGTGTGTGTGTGTTTGGTGTCCTGTTCTATTTCATTCTTTAATCCTTTGTGATTCTCAGCTGTTGAACATCCTTGGTTATTCTTTTCTTTGTAGCTATGTGAACGGGATTGGTCTTTGAAGTCCTTTCTCAGCCATGCCATTGTCTGTGTATACAAATAGGCTGCTGATGTTCTCTCCTGCCACTTTACCACACTCTGCTCTGAGTTTCGATAGTCTCTTAGTGGAGTCTTTTGGACCTCCTATATATGGAATTATGTCATCTGCAAATAGGGATAGTTGGAATTCCTCCTTCCCAATTTGTATGTGACATTGAGCAATGAGAGGAGAAAGTACCAACATGATAATGAGCATGTAGAAAATGTCCACAGTGACCTCAGATGCTACCTGTCTATATTCTCTCTTGCTTTGCAGAAGACACGATTTGGCCTATTTCCAACATGATCCATACTTTAAAGGCAGGGCTAGACTGTGGAGGGCGGGGAATGGGAAGCAGAACTGTGTTCCGTGGAGAACTCTGTAGATCACAGGTGTTTCATGTCCTTCTTCGAGTGGGTAAGTATGTGTC